CGTGCACTCGCGTGCCCAGAATGGATCCGTGCACGGTCGGGGATAAAGAAAAGAAAATTTACGAGAAAAAGAAAGGAACTATGGTGAATTTGAAGGAGTTGGCAGCTCAAGTGGATCCAGAGGATGTGTTCTACTTGGAACCAGAACTATATGAGTGTTTACTCAATTTACCACCAGTATCAGAAATGGAGAACCCAATAACAAATGCAAGCCTCTATACTTATCAGCTCATGGATCCACAGTGTCAACACCTACTTGAAACAGATCAGCGTTACACCAAGAAGAGGATAGGAACCTTCGATCTAATCACAGTGTCCACCAATGATAACAATTGGAAGATTTACCTGCCTGATGGCCTTGTAGACAGGACACTCAGATGGTATCATCTACTGTTAGGACATTGCGGCAGCACCCGGCTTTATGAGACTATCAGTGCTAGGCTCTATGTTCCACAACTAAGCCAAAAGTGCAAACAATATCAGTGTCCGGATGAGTGTCACAGATTCAAACAACAGGGACAGGGTCATGGCCTATTACCAGCGCGGGAGACTCAGTTTGCTCCTTGGAATGAAGTTTGTGTAGACTTGATTGGCCCCTGGAGGGTCCTTCTCCCGGACGAAACTGAATTAGTGATCAATGCACTTACCTGCATTGACCCAGTCATGAACCTATTGGAAATCATCAGAATCAACAACAAATCAAGTAAGCACGTGGCTGAGCAATTTGCTAACAGTTGGTTATCAAGATACCCAAGACCCAACAGGTGTATCCATGACAATGGCTCAGAATTCATCGGAACTCCATTCAAACAGTTACTGAACCAATATGGAATTAAGAGTGTCCAGACAACTGTCAAGAACCCACAAGCAAATGCAGTTTGTGAAAGAGTACATCAGACTATTGCCAATGTTCTACGAGCGACCCTTCATAGCAAGCCCCTTGAGGAACTAACTTTGATGAAGATCAAATCATCGACAACGCACTTGCCTCTGCAATGCATGCTACCAGGTGTGCAGTGAATGCAGCAGTAAAGACCTCACCAGGAGCGTTGGTCTACAACAGAGACATGGTGATGGACATTCCTCTCATTGCTGATTTGAACCTTATCAGAGATAAAAGACAACATCAAATCAATGAGAACCTTAGGAGAGAAAATGCTAGGCGAATACCCTTCAAGTATCAGGTTGGACAGCAGGCCTATATGAAATTCTATGAACCAGACAAGCTGTCTCAAAGACTACATGGTCCTTACCCCATTGTGGAGATCAACACTAACGGAACTGTGGTGTTGCAAAGAAGTGACAACGTACGTGAGACAGTCAACATCAGGAAGCTTGTTCCTTTCAAAGGAACTGTCGAACATCCAACAACTGCAACACAGGAGGAAGAACCCCCTGTCGAAAATATTGAAGATATGATTGCTACAGTTTAATAGTAGTGAGTAATATTGCAACATATATGAGCAACATTACTGTCCGGGACAATGCAATGGATACGTACGTACTGGATAGGATACGTACGTACTGGATAGGATACGTACGTATTGGATAGGATACGTACGTATTGGAAAGGGAGTATACGTATGATACGAAGCTTACAAGAAAGGAATGAAGGAGCATACCATTCCTACGTACCTATCGTAAGTTACTATTTATATGTATAGATCATACGATCCATCATGTTGATGATCGTAAGAGGTCTAAGATACTATTTGAGAATACCTCACGAAGAATAAAGATGTCACGAGTCCGGAATAGAGAACCTCCGTGTAGATTCCCTACCAGATCTACATGAGGTTCTAATCGGAACTTCGGAATTCTCGTGAACGCGCGCTTGGTAATCTTCAAATAATTCTAATCTTATAATTCAATTTTTATACACACTTAACAGCTACTAAGAGTACACGTAATCTCGTGCAGAAACAGCACTGGAATCGTTATGTATAAGTATATTTATGGACAGATCCTGGGTATTTAACCTCAGGGCCTGCTTAAAAACAGAAAAACAGCCTTTTCGGCCAGAGATATGCCCCTGGGGGGGATGAGGGCCTGAAGCTGAAGCTCGTTGTGCATATGATCCAGGGGCAATCATAGCAGGGTCCTCCTGAACATTAAGTAATGAACAGGGCATTGGTTTTCGACACTTAAGGAGGAGTTTCACTGGGTCAGTGAGGGACAGTTCCACTGGGCTCTTTGAATCGGGAGATTGTAAAGTACACTTAGTTGATGGAGAAAGCACTACTGGGGCTTCTTTTCCGCACTTATAAGGGGAGTGTCGCTGGTGCAGTGAGGGACAGTTCTACTGGGTTCTCAACTGGGTACATTTAAGAAGGGATGGTTTCCATGGGCCAAATGATACTTTCGATGTGTCAACAGGGACTGTAGCTTCACTTATTACACTCGACTTGGATTTGTCACTGACTAAAGGATCACTTAGTGCACCCAACTTGGATCTATCAATGACTAAAAGATCATTTAAGGCGCCCACTTTTGTTGCTGGGTCACTTAACATGCTCATCCTAGCTGGATTCGGTGCCGTAGTGGCAATACTAAGATTACACGTATCTCGTGCAGATCCAGCGTACCAAGGATCCTAATAGGTCGGCACGTCCATACCGGTACTGTTCCCAGAATCTTCTCAGAATCTCGTGGAATCAAAGAACAATGATGTGGTAGATTCAGTACTAGGATCTATGAGGAACCTCATGGATGATTTCGAATAATGGGAATCATTACATTCAACGGACAGAATGAGTGGATGCCACTTAAACGCACGCCATTTGGTTTGGCATAAAGAAAAACATGAAGAATCAGAACTGAAGAACTATGTCCATCTAGATTAACCGGAATGACCTATAAAAGTCATAGTCATAGTCATAGTCCCTCTCGGAGCGAGAGGCGAAGCCTCTGTTCGATAAACACGATGTAAACATATTTGTCAACACTTTCGTTTCGTCCCGTACTCCAATAAGTTCCCAACTGACATAAAATATCATTTTTCATCATACGCTGAGTTTCAAATTGATTTCAAGCTGTATCTTGTAGTATTTTAAGAAAATATGCCACCAGGTATCATGAAAGTTCTTTGTTTTGCATCTTTCTTCTTTGTTGCTGCTCCTGTGGCAGTAAGTGTCGATTCTGGAGATCCTTCTGCATTGCTTTCTGGCAAGGAAGAAGTCTTCGTGTTATCATCTCCTTGGATTGGCTGGCCTCAAGCCCAACCAAACCCTCCTCAAGGTGAAGGGCAAGAAAGCACTGTGCAAAGAAGGTTGGCCCCCAAGAAAAGCAAGGCCCCTAGCGTATCAAAAGAGACCAAGAAGCAGTCAAAACCCCCAACTGCTTCCCCCGTGTCCTCCCCAACTGCTTCCCCCATGTCCTCCCCAACTCCTGCCCCAAGTTTCTCCCCTATCGATATGACGTGTGTCGATGTATTCACGGGCAACCGCACTTACATCCCAAGTTGCAACAATACAATCAACGAGATTAATATTCGTTGTGACATGGGAGGTCAATGTGTATATTTCCACGAGAGTATTGAGTTTGATGATGAAGGAAATCCAATAGCTGACGACGACAGGTGTGGATTGCTTGGAGAATTTTCTTACGCTAAAGTCAAGGTCAAGTCATCTCAATGCGAACTGGACCTTGAACCAATCCAACTCACTGATTTTGGAACATGCAAATTCTCCGATCAAGGATTGGTTTATGGCGGACCAAGCACGGTAAAAGCCAAAATCAGTTCTGATGGGACCATGGACCTCGTCTTTAGTGTCGATCACGGGGAGACCTTTTTTGAAGACATACGTGTTGCTACTCCAACGACTGAAGAAGAACTATTATCATTTTATGCAGAAACTCGCAGGTCTTATCAAGCTCGCGGATCTCCTCCCGAGTTTTGCGTTGAAAAACCCCTAGCTGACTTCAGGATTTTATCTCTTGGGGCTAATGTTGTTTCTTCATCTTGCAAAACTGTGAGTACGGCTGTTTGAAGACGAAAGGAATGTTTCAAATAATTAGTTTTGACCCGGCTGACCCATTCCTCTTTTTGATTATGTACTACAAACAAGAATGATGATTGCCATAATGTGGATCCGAATACTTGGTGTTCACTCGAAACTGGTGACAATTTTCCAACCCCAAATTATTGCTATCAGTGTTTGAATGATAATCATTGCCCCAGCGACCAAAAGTGTAGGACTGATGCCAATAATCGTATATGCGTCTACCCCGAAATTCCCGCAGTTGCTGGTATTAGTGAGATTGAAATGGGCTACAACCTTTTCAAGGCTGATCCTCTATATACTGCTTACTCTACTGGAGAATCCCTGCTTCCTATTGATCAAGGTCGCGCCAATATTAGGAGATTTTTTGAGCTTGAATATTTGAAAGAGACTAAGTACCAAGTGCCACTAGGAGGGTTCACGTATTATGAGCCTGTAGGGGTTGAAATAACCCCCCAATTTGTGACCGGGACAACAACATCACACAGGAGTCATTACTCAATGGACACTTTCCAAAAAGAAATGTCTGGGTCACTCGGTATTTCAGGGTCAGGGATTATCAAGGGAGTCGACGTTGGAGCTAGTGGTGGTATTGACACAAAACAGAGAGTGTCCACTGACGCACAGACAAGCACGCTCACTGTATCAGCAAAATCCGTAAAAATTGTGTACTCTTTCGTAATGACATCGGGCATAAGACTTAAAATTTACGACGCCGCTCAAGCCGACTTGAAAAAAAAGATTGGGATTCCTTTTTCGAAATGTATGGTACCCACTTAAATGTTGGAGGCGTTGGAGGAGCATGGCAGAGGCAGACTTTCAAATTCACTTCACACGAAAGAACGACACTTACCACCGGGTCACGATCATTCGAACAATCGTTGACTGTTGGTATTCCCGGCATTTTTGGGTTCGAGCAAGATAGTTCTGGTTCAGAGGCTAAAGAAGTTGGGAACACCATTAAAGGTTACAATCAAGATACGGTAGTTATAGCTTTGGGTGACCTGAATGATGTTTATAACACATCATCCATCATCCAAAGGGCTTTGCGACCGATTTGTGACTTTGTTGATCAAGTCGACGGTGTGAGCAAAGATGAGTGCGAAACTGCATTGATAGCCTATTGTGTGAAGCAGATCCAAGTTAAAGTCCCAGGCGCTACGACGTGCAATCTTACAACAAACGGATTTACCTTTGCTTGCATGTCAAATGCTCAGTGTCCGGGAAAAGAGAAATGTGAAGCAGCCTTCTGTGTGCCTGAATGTACAAGCGATAACGACTGCCCGGGTAAATTCAATGAGTGCAAGGCCAACCAGGAATGCGGACCTATGGTTGGCGAATCAAATCCAAGCAGGCATAAATGTAAACATACTGATCATCACGTTAAGTGGACTTCATGTGGGTGGTGGCGTTCGTGTCCATCAGGTTACAGAAAAGACAGAGAAGAAAATGGAGCATGCATTTTGGGGGGCGAGCGGTGGGTCTGTGTAAAGGATGGGTATTGGGGACCACCATGCACGAGACCTCTGAAAGCAACTTGTGGCAATGGCCGTAGAAACAACGGATGCTGTCCAAACGGCTTAGGTTGCTCAAGTGGTGGGTGGTGCGGGACTACTGCTGCTCACAAAAACGCGGTTCGACCAACCCATAGAGAATGTTTGGATATGGGCGCAAGAGCGTAGTAGTGGCAGGGCGAATACTACGAATGGAGGACAGATTCTACACTTCCCAGTAGTTTGTCAAGTTCTCCTGCCAAGTATGGAATGCTGTTGCCAGTTGAAAGTGTTGCACCCCAGGGAGACTGTCCTTATAGGGTGTTAAGTTACACGGAACCGAGACCAAAGTATACGGAACCGAGATCGAGAGTGATTCAGAATCACTTGTTATAATAAATATTTGGAATCCTCCTATGAAAAACGGGGATTTCCAGATAGTAATCCTAATTCTATTTAAAGCGAACATCAAGCAACATTCCAATTTTCTTGAACAGGACTAACAATTTCTTTGCGATGAGCCTCCTAGTAACGACATCGGGGTTGTCCGGCATTCGTCCAAGAATTAGAAAACATACACGGAAAATGCCGATCCGCTGACACGGAGGACATCGAGGGTGTTGCCGGGACGAGTTGCTGATACCGAGGACGTCCCGACACGCATCGAGTGGTGCGTGGTCTCCGGGGATGCCAGAACCAGCCATGTGTGTGTGGGTTTGTGTGGGTTTGTGCATTGGTGCTTTTCGGACGTGCCCGGACGCTCATCGATGGATCCCTCGGCCTTTCGCAATAAAATGGCACAAGGGTTTCCCCAAAAATGGTGGGTCCGTACCGAAGAGGGCGCCTCCGTGGATGTTCCGTGGTGGACGTCTTGCGTTGGCAAGGCCCAGTCGCCAATCTGCTTGTTCTTGGCTGGCCGGCTTTCTTGGACACCACGAACGTCGGTGTGGATCGACCGGTTGCGGGTCACAAGAGGCTTCCTTCTTCCCATTGGCTCTGGCAGTCGAAGGGATGTTTGTTTGCGTCGATCCACGCCAGGGGTGCATCGCTTAACTTCGCATTGCATCGCAAAAGCCTCGGCCGGCAATGCGTCCCGGCTTGCTGTTTTCCGGGGGGATGTTCTTTGTCCAATGGGCGAAGGTTCCAGAGAAGGCCCGGTCGCCGGTGCCGGTCGGTGCCGGCCTGCTGTTCCTGCCGCGCAGCACCTTTCACCTCAAACCATTGCCGCGAGAAAGAGATCCCTTTCGTTCCAATTGCTCTTTCAGAAGGGGGAAGGTGTCGATCGAGGATCGGGACGCGTTGGACTAGGGAGTGTTTTTTCGTCAGTTGGTGTTGATTCTACTCTGCGATTGCGCTTCCAAGAATGCTTCACTCAATGGTGAATAGGCAACAAGTGATGGAATGGTTGAAGAATTGGGGCAGGGCAACTACTAATCATACTATGGTTTTTTACAGTTTTGGTGGTGTTTGGCAAATGGAAGAAAAATGAGAGAAATCGATCATCTCTAGGGCTCCGGGCAGTCTGTTCGTCCTGGAAGGAATCCGTGGTACGATACTTGTACTGCTGTTTTACGTACCGGACAGGTACACAACAAAATATCAACAAAAATATCAACCCTGTAGAACAAAGTACATAATCTATGTAGGTGCACCAAGTGCACCAAGCCAGTGGGTGGCAAGACTGTATCAGAGTGATTGATGAGAAGTACTCACACAATCACATATCACATACAAGGCAAATTCTATAGAAAAAACACAAGTCAGGAGAGTAGTAATTCTTGACAATCATGTCGATAACAACACTGATACTACCACCAACGACACCACCACTCCTGTCAGCTACTAGTAGTATTAAGATGGTCCTCCTCTTCTTGTTGCTGAGGCTAGCAAATCACTCACACCAGTTAACGTATAGTACACAGTACACTGTTTTTATGTAGGGGGGGGGGGACAAGTAGTAAGCTAGGAAACACTTTGACACCCAACAAAGAAGAATCAATGACAATTAAGAAGCAGCTGTACTAGTAACAGTTGGTCCTCGGAGCAAGGCATGGCCTCTTAAGGATTCAGGAGACTCTCTTGGTTGGACCACTATACACTGCATAGATTTGTCTAACAGCATTACAACCAGCACTGATGAGTCTCTCCATGCACTTCCAGAACTTCATTCTCCTGGTGCAGTACTTACTCTTCATGGGACCTCTCTCAGCAGCGGTGAACTCCTTTTGTAGACTTATTAAGACCAACACCAACTTCCCATTCATTCCAGAGGACATAAAGATCATGACAACACTTAGACAGGTCAGCTACTCCACTCTCCCTCGTAGCAGCTTCTGATGCTCCACTGTTCAACCACGGGGCCTCCTTCTTACAACCGGGCTCATTGCAGCTCTTTGGGACATCTCGATGGCTTTATTATGCTTTTGGTTGAACTTAGCTTCAGCAGCTTCCATCTATGAATTCTTGATCTCATTCACTTCACTAGCTGTGGCAAACAGCTTGGAAAACATTTTATGATTCCACTGCAACTGAGTCCTAAGAATTCCAAGAGTGCTACCACCAGCAGGGCCTCTGCCCCCCCCCCCCCCCACACACACACACAAATGAGATTGTCTGGATCTGCAAGCTCCTCATCAAAGTGGACCTGTACACTGATCTCATTAGCAATCAGCTCAACAAGCTTCACAGAATTCACATCACCATCTAACCTGTCAGCAACAGTCAGACTACAATTCAGTTGGATCCAGGAAACAAAAACATCATTCTTCACATCCTCAAGTAGCTCGTGCCAAGCCAAAAGCCAAGCACGAGTGCACTATGTGGCAGACATGCAACTTGTGCTGGCCCCATCTTTGGGCTAGCAATGTAGCCAAAGCATTCCTAGCACTCTTGGCTTTAGGGCCTTCTATAGTAGTACCATCCACTGAGTAGACCAAAAGAGTAAAATGGCAGTGTGCCTTGCAACATGCTGTATTGTACCAAGCCTTCTTCTCTTTCTCCTGAGTGCGGAGAACATCCAGTGGCTGCTTGTGTTGGTGGGACCGCACATCAGTATCAATGATGTGTATATCAAATATAGCGGCCATACCTTGCTGCCAGAATCCATGGATACCTATGTCCCCCCAAAGAGCTCCTGGTGGTGGCAGTGCTCCAGCTAGAGCTCTGTTGCCAGGCGCTGGCTGATATACTGGAATTTGTAGTCCATCAGTAACAGTGCTTGGTTTGAGAGCTTCAGCACAGAGCTGATGCCACTCACCTGCTACATTGTTATGGCAATGTAAAGTCAGCCCTGCTTTTGGACAGCTGAGTGCATGACTGACTGTAAAGCAACTGTAGCTGCCGTCACAGTGAGCTGGTAAATTCAGGGGTCTTAAGCCTAACCAAAGGCAGAGGTTTTCTTGAAACTCATCAGCTGAGAGAACCATGCCATTTAGGACATGGGGAATAGTAGTGAGCCATGCCCTGGTTTCAACTGCTTGTTGAAGTTGACGTTTAGCCAGCTGACCATTAGTCTGTGCAATCAGCTGGTCTAGACAAATCTGATGGGCACTGTCACATGCCGCAGTTTGTTGCCACATGATCATATGCATGTTTGTGTTCATTTTCTTCCTAAGGTGATTGGCTTAAGGCAGCCATAGCTTCAACTGAATTGGCAAAGTTTTTGGGGCATGTCTCAGTGGGGTCGGGGATTCCAATGCCTGCAAACCAAACAGGCAGTGCAAGTTGTCAACAAATCAATTTCACTTGCGCCTGCTGAGCCCCCAGTAGTGCAGGGAGGAAGTCCTCCGCTAACACAGCCTCAACCAGGACAAAAGACTCTGCAATGTCCAGAACCACCGGTTCAAATATGTCCATTCCGCCTGTAATGACTTTGTCAGGTAGCTTCTTGGCTACTCATGCCAGAATCTTCACTCCTGCTACCCGCTGTTCCACCTGGGGCGTAAGCCATGCAGCAAGGTCTGCCTCCCCGCCTAGGTAGGAACCTTGGTATTGACATCCATCCACAAAGGTGAAATTGAACCGCCCAAGGATCTCCTGTGCCCCTGCCATCATTGGTGCGGGGCTCAAGTAGATACTCTTGGCAGGTTCAGGATAATACCCACACTTTGGACCAAGCTCCAGTAGCTTGTCCATTACTAGGGCAATATCCTGGGCTTTCCCATGCATTGCCGGGTCATTGGCATACCAGGGCTGTACTACATGTGGGCATAGCTCTTGCGTCTCCTTATGTAACTCCCTGGCGGGAGAGAAGAATAGAGCTTGGATCTGTTGGAGACCAACTGCATAGTACAAGTTGGGCCAAGTGTTAACAGCAGTTAAAACTGAATCGCACTCCCTGTGGCCACAGATGGGCCACTGTCCAGAATATAGCCTTGTGGTTGGTGAGCTCATTGAAGCCATTCATAGTGTCTACCAGAAGCGTTCCCTCAGGCTCCACTATTGTGGTTCCAGTAGGCTCCATGTCCTCAAGTGCTGCTTCCCCAGGAGTAGAATCTGGTGGGTCTGGAGGCTGCTCTAGGCTGGGCTCAGCTGCTAAGGCTGTAGAGTCTCTCCACAGGTCCTGTGCAGCATGAGTAGCACCCTCAATACCTGCCCTCAAACCCGCACACAACTTGCGCCACATACCTCTAGCATGCATTTAGCCATCATGCAGCAATAGATCTCACCAACTGGACGCACTCTGCAACGGACACGTACGTACTATTTTGAATCGATACGTATGATGCTTCGATGAAAGGAATGAAGGGACATACCATTCCTACGTACCTATTGTAAGGTAATATTCATATATATGTATCATAGGATCCATCGTAAGAGGTCCGAGGATCATAAGAGGTCCAAGATATCAGAAATAGATTATCTCGCAAAGAACAAAGATGTCAATAGATCAGAATAATAAGAATCCTGTGTAGATTCAGTACAAGAGCTACACAAGGATCTAATCGGAGCTTCGGAAAGCTCACGTCGAAGCACAATAATCTTAACCTTCTTATAATTTCAATTTTTTTACACACTAAACATACTAAGAGTACACATATCTTGTGCACACTCCCGGTTACTTATCCAAGGCTACAAGGCGGCAGGCCATCAAAGCCCAATACGCCGCCCAGGGTAAATTTGAGTTGGCAAGCCAGTTCATCAGACTGGCCAGCTCATCCCTTAGAGCTGCAGAATAGTCGCTGTATCACAACAGCCACGTCTTCAACTCTTTGCCATTGGTACTGCCAGGGCCTGCACCGCCTTGCAATGGATGCGTACGTACATTATCGAAAGTATACGTACATACATTATCGAAAGTATACGTACGTACTGTATCGAAAGTATACGTACATACTGTATCGAAAGTATACGTACTACCTACTAGAAAGGAAGCATACGTACATACGATGCTCCTTTGGAATGAATGGACATACCATTCCTACCTACATATCATAATGTACTGTTAATACATATACATCATACGGTCCATCATGTTGAKGATCGTGAGAGGTCTAAGATACTATTCGAGAATACCTCACGAAGAATAGAGATGTCACGAGTCCGGAATGGAGAACCTCCATGTAGATTCCCTACCAGGTCTACATGAGGTTCTAATCGGAACTTCGGAATTCTCGTGAACATGCTTGGTAATCTTAATCTTATAATCTCTTTTTCATACACTTAAACATACTAAGAGTACACGCCTGATAGCTTGGAAGCAACCTTAGCCACCACATCAACCGTCACTTGTCCCTTGCCCAAGATCTCCTATCTGTAATTCCTTCATTGAATAGCCATTGGCTTGCTGCTCCATTGCTGTCTTTGCACCACTTTTCAAGGAATAATGCAAGCCCCAGCACCACACAGCAGCTCCTATGATCCATCAATCMAAGCAGTATTTGTCTTGGGCAATCACGTTCCTCTCTTACATTCTTAGACCATCTTAACTTTGCTGTAAGGAACTGGGGAAACTCAGCTGATTTTCTAAGCTATCTTTCCCCACATGTGCCATATCATCATTGTAACCAATCAAGAAATGGAACTGGAACTTCAGCATTGCTAGATGTCTCGACTGATTTGGAATGGTCCCATGATTTGACATTAGTTCTAATGTTTGCAGGAACTCATCATTGGTAGGAGACCTATCCATGCTGCTTGCCTGCCCAAGGCCTCTAGTAGGCTGCAATGAAATCATTAACTTAGTAGGATTCCCACTTCTAACACTGGCAACAACAGTCCATTTGTGCAGCTTGTTTGGCATGAAGTATGATATTGCCTTATTGTAGTAGATTGAAGTGGTGGTGGATCTACCAATTGTAGCATTATCATCCACACCTGGATCCTCTCCCCTAGCTCTATCTGTAGCTGTAGCTCTATCTGTAGCTCTATCTGTAGCTCTATATGAAGCTGTAGCTCTTTCTGAAGCTGTAGCTCTATCAGAAGCTGTAGTGCTATCAGAAGCTGTAGCTCAACCCTACTATGTATTTACGTCACACCGAAGTGTTCGACTACGAGCTAAAAACGTAATCATACGATCACACGATTGATCATATCATACGTACGGTACGGGGAAAAACCTGAAAAAACTGGGTGGGAAATCACACTGAAATCCCGTGTTATTTACACGGAAGTGTGAAATCTGACTTCGTGAGTTCAAATGCAGTGCATCGAAGCACGATTTTCGACGCTTTTTGTTTGGATCAATATTCCAACGGAGCTTGATCCGACATTTCCGAGCTCTGTTTTCGGTGCTTTCCGAGCACTATATCTCAGTGGGAAACCACACTGGAATCCCTCACAAAAAAAACTAGACAAGATGGAATCTGACTGTGCTAATAAGCATACACTCGCACACCCGAGTGCAAAATCCAATCCAGGGGCTGATTGAATTTCAGTCTGGTGTCTTGAGTGCCTCGCAAGCATCTGCTGGCTGCTCTTGCCAAAGCAAATCCAATTCTGGATTTCACCATGCTGCAGACTTGAG